CCCTGGGGAGCAGCGGAAAGGCAGTGCTCCAGCCGCCTTGCCCTCACGTGGCATAAACATCTGCTGCCCCTGGCTGGCAAGGACTGGGGTCCTACGGGCTTGTTGGTGGTGGTGGGGAATGGGGACTGCCCCCCCTTTCTGTGGCAGGGAAGGACTGTTACCGAAAAAGCAGGTCCCAGTGAGCAAGAGTCCTTTTAATGAGCGGACAGCGGGGGGGGGGCCAGTTCGGTGGCCCGGCAGGCAAGAGCCAGTCCTGCGCCAAAGTCCCGGCGGACAGTCCCGCATCCTCCTGGGCGAGGGATCGCAGCGGACAGGGTCCTTTTCCCGGGAGGCGGCGCTCTCTGTGCGGCAGGCAGGCAGGCAGGCGAGCGAAGGCGGCGTCCTCAGGTCCGGCCCGGCGCGCTAGTACTCCTGCGAGGGCTGGTCCGAGTCCGACGGCTTCTTGCCCGGGGGGGCGGGGGCGGCGTTGGCCTTGGGCGGGAGGAGGGCGGCGGGGATGTGGGGCAGGACGCCGCCCTGGGCGATGGTGACGCGGCCCAGCAGGCGGCCCAGCTCCTCGTCGTTGCGCACGGCCAGCTGCACGTGGCGGGGGACGATGCGCGCCTTGCGGTGGTCGCGCGCCGCGTTGCCCGCCAGCTCCAGGATCTCGGCCGTCAGGTACTCCAGCACCGCCGCCAGGTAGACGGGCGCCCCGGCCCCCACCCGCGCCGCGTAGCGCCCCCGCCGCAGCAGCCGGTGCACGCGCCCCACCGGGAAGTGCAGCCCGGCCCGCGACGAGCGCGACTGCGCCTTGGCGCGCCCCTTCGCCCCGCAGCCGGCTTTCCCGCGCCCCGACATGGCGACCAACGGCGGAGGAGGGAAGGACGGTTAGGGTTAGGGTACTCCGCCGCCGCGCCTTTATAGCGCCCGCGCTGCCTCCCCATTGGCTGGCTGCCCCGGCGCCCCGGTTGGACGGCGGCTCCCGGGACGCCTGCTCATTGGCTGCCGCCCGGGGCCAATGGGGCAGCAGCGCGCCCGATTCAAAAGCGGAGGCCGGACGGATCCCGGAAGTCGCAGGCGGGACTGACGGCCTCGGAGTCTGCGCGGCGCGAGGCAAAGGGCTGCACTGGCGGGCTCCCGCTCTCTCTCCCTTCCCCCGCGCGTTTCACTTCCGGCTCAAAATGCTTCTTCGCTCCTTAATCGAGCGCGGCATTTCGGGAGCCCGGGGGCTGAATGCGGCACAGCTCATTGCTCTCGCGCGGAGGATGACTGGAACACGCCTGATGCAGCCACCTCCCTTCCAGCTAAGCCTGCGTGGGGCTGGCTAGTGCCTGGATGGAACTCCTGGCGGGGACTATTCTGCCACTCCTCGACTGATCATGGAAAGGGGGGGGCGGCGCGTGCATTCAGAAGCACTGACGATTGGCGAGTAGGCAGGAGGTGCTCTACAACCCTGCTGTGTGGTCCCTCATTCCCAGTAACGCCACAGAGCTGGCGATTAAGGCAGCCAGTGACATGTACTCAGCAGCATCTAAGACATGTGCACACACACTACACAGGTTAGCTACAACAGACTTATAAGAGGAGTCTGCTGGATCAGGCCAACGGCCCTTCTCGTCCACATTCCTGCAAAAAGTCAACCAGGTGCTCTGGAGGGCCATGGCCTCTCCCTGGCATTGGGATTCAAAGGGTTACTGCTCCCTTTAGTCTACATAGCAGGTAGCCATTACAAACTACTCCCCCTGAGGATGGCTGGCCATGTGTTAGTCTATTTGTAGTAGCAGAAAGGAGCAAGACTCCAGTAGCACCTTAAAGACTAACAAAATTGTGGTAGGGAAGGAGTACTACCCACCTCTTCGGTCTTGATCTTTTCTACTCTCCCTGAATTTGTCCAGTCCCCTAAAAGTATAAAGAGAACACAGGCAATTTTCTTGTGTCATGTGATGTTCAATTTGAACTTCAGGGCAGTGCTCCCTCTAAGCTGAGTTAGGGTGAGCTAGCTCACAGGTTTTTAGCCTCTGGCTCATACATTTTTGTCTTAGCTCAGGAAGGATGGCTCTAGACCAAACTAATTTATGCAGTAGCCAGATCGTTTTAATGCCAGTAGCTCACAAAGCAGAAATGTTGCTCACAAGACTCCACAGCTTAGAGGGAGCATTGCTTCTGGGTTAAAAGATAGTCTCCCTTCTCTCAGGTTTCTCTTGCTGGCTGTTCACCCAGGAAAACACCCCCAATGTTATCCTAAACAGAATTCTAGACACACTTATTCCAAGCAGGCACATCTGATAGCCCATGGTTTTACCTTTCAAAGTGTAACATCAACCTGGATGCTGCTCAGCGTGCATAACTCACGGCCTTCTGTCTGGTTATTAGAGGCCAGAGCAGTCTCTCTGTGCTGTGCCTTCTGTGGGCCCACCCTCTTCCCCCACCACAAACCCTGACTGCTGTTTCCTGAAGTAGAAGCCAATGTCCTTCCCTCACATACGCAGTATGTGTTCATACTATGCTTTGAAGCAGGAAAGGATCTCCAGGATGAAGCTGGACACGTCTTCCTCCATCCTTCTACAGCAGAAGTCAGCAACCCCCAACATGTGCCTACTATGGCAGGTAGTGAAGGAGAAGGTGACGGGCACGGCTTCTGTCCATCATCGCCTCCCAAGCCAGCACACCCTAGATAGAGCTGAGAGATGGGGCTTGGCTCACTCAGAACACAACCCTTGCCTGCCTCTCCCCTCCCCCATCATTTGATGTGCCAGCCCCCTCCCCCCCCCCCACTTCACAGGGATCTCTTCTTCAGCACTTGGGCCAAAAAGGTTGCCCAGCCCCTGCTCCAGAGATAATAAAAGCAAAAGGCTAGAATCAGTGGTACAGGAGGAGGAAGGCTGCCTTTCCCTGGATAACTGCAGCTTGCACTAGAGCATCTATTCAAACCCCCCCCCCCCATCCCCACCTCTGTGTTTCAGTGGGTGTGCAAATGAGAATGTGAGATTTTTTTGCAACTCTGGGCACCTCGGCATGAGCCAGAGAGAACGCAGAGCCAGGTGACACCATGTTGGTCTGCGGGAGAACAGTTGGATTCGAGTCCAGGATCACCGTAGGGACCAACGCAATTTTTTTGGGCGTAAGCTTTCAAGAGTCAAAGCTCTCTTTGTTATCTTGGGAGCAGAGAGAGGTCCTGGTCAGTGCAGAGAGACAGAAACAGAAAGAGGTGGAATATTTATTTCAGGCCACTTTCAGTCCTTGAACAGGGGAGGAGGAGGCATATTTCCATCTCCCTGCTAAAAGGGGAAAGGGCCATTTGGCTAAACACCTCAGAAGGACTCCAGCCGCCCCTCTAGCAAGCCATGAGGCTTCCTTGCGCAATCACGCCTTCTGTTCCTCCTCAAGCCAGACAGGTGGTGGCCTCGAAGGCGAAAGGAGTCTTTTCATTTTGCTTTTCTGTATGTTCCTCCTTGATCCCCATCAGACACTATTCTTACCAACAAAATAAATCGCCACTCCATCAGGCTCCTCTTCCCTCGTAATCCAGCAAGCACAAGAGACGGCAACACAGGACTGTGCACGAAGCCACCCACACTGGTGAGGATGTGGACAGTCCCGCAAAAAACGGCCGAGGAGCAGCAGCATCAGAAGGAGTTGCAGGCGGAGGTTAGCAGGACTGACCACACAGAGCGGCGGCCTTGGCAGCCAGTTCGCTGCCTCCCCCCAACCCCCCAGGACAATCACTACCACATCCTCAGGAGTGAGCAGTCCAGGCCGCGAGGCGGGAAACAAGGGCAGAGTCCACACCCCCCCACACACACACACACTAGGTTAAGCACACAGTGGGTGCTTTGAGGCTGCTGGACTTTGGCTGTGAGGGTTTAGGGCAAAGAGTTAGCCATGGATCCCTGCCACAACAGTCTTCGCTCGTCACTCCTGCACACTGAGGCAAGTGACAGAGTACAGGAAAAGCAGGGTGAAAGCATGAAGGAAGGGGGTGTTCTCGGAGCAGGAGACGTACAGCAGAAAGGGCAGCCATTCAAGCCTGGGCAGCTCGGTACCAGCGGCTTGCCTGCTTGGCCTCGTCCACAGGCCCAGCAAGCAGGAGAGCAATACTCCACCTCCTGACTCTCCTCCACCCCCCCCTGCAAGTGTGATGGCCCTTTCCACATCCGCCCGTGTAATGGAAGTGCTACATTCAAAACCCCGCCAGAAGCACCACACGGCCTCGAAGGCCATCTTCCAAGAAAGCCTTCTGTCTCTGAGAAGCAGGCTGGCTGCCGTGGGCAACTGAACCGCAACGTATGTCCTGGATGCCGGCCAAAGAAGACGGCCGCAGCTCAGATGTCATAGAAGAGCCGCACAAGCTGGTACCGGATGGAAAAGGCAACGATGCTCCCAGCAACCTAAAAAGGAAGGAGGGGCATGGAGTTCAGTCCCCCAGTGGACAAGCTGATATCTTGGGGACCATCCTCAGTTAGGCCACACAGTTATCAGGAAGGACCCCGGAGCCATGCTGGACTGGAAGTCTGCCATCTTCGTTTCAAGGCCTCCCCAAGCTCTCTTCCACCCCAGAGTCATCCTTGTGGGCATGAGAGAAAGCACCACTTCCAAACCTTCCGGCCACTTACCTGGATCAGCAGCAGCAAGACAGTCAGGGTTCTCTCAGGGGTTGGCCCGATCAGCTTGATCACCAAGTTAATGAGAGTCATGTTGCTGCACTCCACGTATTCGCCATCTTTGTCCACACCCTGATGTACGTCGACGATGTGGAGACGCTCAGACATCTGGGGAGACACATTTGTTGCTGGTGCCCCTCCAGGGTGAAGGAGAGAACTGGCCTCTCCCCAGGCCCTTCTCTGTTAGCCGAGCCGCCCTCAGCAGAGCCCTTCCGGCTGGGTCTCAGAGCCCACCCTCTGGAAGGTCTTAGAGCTCACCCTCTGGAAGGTCTCAGAGCCCACCCTCTGGAAGGTCTCAGAGCCCACCCTTCCAGAGGGGCCAGCACAGAGGCTCATGCCATTACCTTGAGGATAGAAGCTCCCAAGGGGGAGAGGCTCTTGGGCTTGAATCTCGAGTAGCTCATCTCCAGCTTGCCTGTCTCACGGTTGAACCTGCAGACACAGACAGAGTCCAGTGTGAGGCTGTGCCAGGATCCACCTCTGCCAGTGAGGTCACGAGGAGGGCCTTGGGGGGAGTGCCAGAGGCCAGCCCACCTCTGCAAAGGCCAGACCAAGGAGGCGACCGGGTGAGAGACGGTCCTTCCATTGTGGCTCCCCACAAAGAACTTGGGGAAGCGATGCTGGCAAAACATACCAGCCAAGAAGGAAGAGCTGCCCTGTGGGGGCAGGCCGTCGGGTCCTTGTTACCTGGGCAGCCGATGGCGTGGGCAGGGGATGACGTGGAAGAGCTGAGGCAAGGAGTAGAGGAAGTTCAGTACTTGTGGGATAAAGAAGAGCAGCATGGTTTTGCTGAAATGCCCAAGGATGCCCACCACAGCGAAGGTCATGCCGGCAAAATAGCAGAAGGTGTCGCCCACAAACACCCGGGACGGGTACCTGCATCAAGCAGAACAGAAAGAAGTTAGCTGCCACGGGGGCAACACACCCAGAGGCAGAAGCCTCAGAGAACAGTGCAGGCAGGCACACCCTGGGGAAGTTTTGGACCGACCCCCGTGTTTTGCCCACCACTGCTACACACAACGGGTGAACGGCTTAACACAGGTCGGGAGGATCACTGAAGCAAGCAGGGGAAGGAAAGAGATGCGGGCAGCCTAGAGAGCACTCATCGGTGTCCACAAGAGGGGCGGCTACAGTGCTGGCTGGAATTTGGCAGAGGGGGGTGGGTATCTCCATCCTCAGGGAATTTCTTGTGCAGCACTCTGGAGTTCTGTTCCAAAATTCTAGAAGGGCTTGTTTGCAACGAAGAGAGCCAACTCCTGCTCTAAGCCTCTGAAGGGCGTGCACTGCCCAGGCACATGGCACACACACACAACGCACCAGCAGCTCTCCCCAAGGGGCAGCTGCACACCGTAAACCACCTTCCTGTATGGCGGCACCCCTTCTGTGCCTCCTCCCCCAGGAGAAACAACTTTGCCTTCCCAAATCCACAGAACATCTCACCAGTTATGATACAGCAGCCCCAACGTGGTGAAGAAAAAGGGAATCATGAAGTAGAGAGAGAAAGTGTGGTCATCCCTGTAGTCTCCTGTCAGCAAGGAAGGAAGAGAAAAAACTGACTGGGGGTGAGCCAGTGGGGGCATCAGCTGCAGGGATCCAGCATCAGGGCCATCTCCGTGCCCACTGCTCAGCGGGCAGCAGCCGTGCGGAGTGGGTGCCCTGCCTCTGCTGCTAGGCGTGTAAGTCTGAAGCTCTGCAGAACGTCCCACCCCGTCCTCCCGCCCCGTCCCCACAGTTAAGCCCCCACTCTACCATTTAATTCTACGATGTTGAAAGTGATGATGGAGCCAGCGATCACCAGTGACTGCCCGGCCTCCAGCCCGTTAATCCCGGCAAGAATGTTGATGGCATTGGTGCAGAAGACGGCCAGCATGCCCATGTACACATAATACAGGATGCCTGCGGGAAAAGAGGAGCATCTCTGGCACACCTTCTGAAGACACCAGCCATGTCGCTGGCCCAAAACACGAGACCAGCCACGCGCCTTTCCTGGGCAGCCCCCCCCCCCTCGCGCACATGCCTGCCCACCATGACATCAGCTCCTGCGGACGGAGGCTGAGACACAACAGCTGCCCTGAGGAGCCAGCATCAGCCTGGGATAGCCCCGGGTCACTCACCCAGATCCAGATGGGTACCCAGCAGCATCCGGAAGGGCTTGGGCACCACGATGGTGGTGTTCCCAAAATTGGTGAAGTACACCATGAGCAAGGGCAAGGAGGCCATGGTGGGCAGGAGGAGCTTGTGGCGCCACCGCAGGTTGAGGACATCGTCCGCAAAGCCCAGGAAGATCATGCAGCAGATGGCCAGGAGAGAGCCGATGAGAGCCACGAACTGCAAGGAGAGAGACCGTGAGGGGCCCGGGCCTGGTGCTTGGGGGGCGGGCAGCCAGACTCCTCCGGTGTTTGCCAGGCACTCACCTCGTGGTGCGGGAAGGCCTTACACTGGTCCTCCACCAGGCAGCTCAGGAAGGGCACCGGGATGAAGCAGAAGAGAATGATCAGGAACACTACGCCACTGATGACCCCTTGGGATTCTGGGCTGGAACCAGACAACCACACAGAGCATTTAAGAGCCGCACAGCCGTAACACGTGCCTGATCCACGTACACCAGGGCCAGTGTTCAACAGCCTGCCTGCAGCATGCAGAGGATCTGGGGAACAAACCTGCCTGAACCAAACTCTGGAGGAAGTCAGACACGTAGGAGAGCAAAAGGGGCCACCCTTGCTGATCGGCAGCTCTTGGCTCTCAGCAGTCCAGCCCCGAGCCCTCTTATGTGTCTTTGTGAGGAGCGTCAGCACACCTCCACCAGAACAGAGCCCCGCCACCACAGCCCTGCTGCATCCACCCAGTCCAGCATCCTCTCGCACAGGGGCCAACCACAGTGCAGAGAGGCGGAGGCCTTCCTCTGATGGGTGTCTCCTGGCTCTGGGATTCTGCAGTTTGCTGTCTCTGAATGTGGAAGCGCCCTCGGGCTAGTAGCTGCTGACACAGCTGTCACTCGGGCTGCGTAGTAGCTGCTGACACACCCGGCCTGCAAGAACCTGCCTCACTCCCTGGCAAAGGCCTCTATGACTCCCGTATTTTAACCACTCCCTGGCCAAAGATCTACTTCCTCGAGTCTGTCCTGAATCTACTGCCCAGGAGCCTCATTGGATGCCCTATTCCTTCCCGTCGAACCTCTCACGCAGCGTCTCCGCGGCCTTAAGATTTCGCGCCCCCCCCAAAGGAAGCGCCTCTCTGTCCCCTCCTGTCCCGCCCTCCCTCCCCCCCTGCTCCTGCTGCTGAGAGTGCCTGAGTTGGAGATTGTGTGGCTGGCTTCTGCTTCAGCCACTGCTCTGAGCCTGCTTTCCTGCTGCTGTCTATTGGACTACTTTGGATCAAGATCCATACAGCATGCTGGACAATAGAAGAAGACTAAAGAGAATACATCACTGGTTTGACTTATTTGGGCCGCTTTTTAAAAACTTTTCTTATTTTGTTGTGGGCTGGTGGGTTTGGGGCCTGGGGTTGGTGGTGGTAGGTAGGCCTCTGGGCCCTAGGGCCTCTCAAGTCTCATCCTGTTTTTTTTTTGGGGGGGGAGGGGGTTCTTCTAGTTTGTGGTTTTGTTGATTGCCTGTTGCTTGCAGTTTAATATATATATATTTTTAATTGTGCTTGATATTTCTTGGCTTTTGGGGGTTTTTTGGTGGGGGGTGTTGCTGACAAGGCTTTCTGCCTGGGGCCTAGGTTCTCTGTTTTTGGTTCTTCTGTTTTGTGGTTCGGTTTCCTTTTAGCAGTTTAAATTTTTTAAGTTGTTGTACTGTGTTTTATATTTCTGTGAACTTTTGGCTTTCTTAGGGGTGGGATCACTGTTCTGTGTGTGCTTCTGGTTTAGATGCTGCATTGTTAAATAGGCTTTTTAATAAAGGTTTCAGGAATTTTTAATTAATATTTTTAAATAAACCTCAGCATAGGGCTTTAGCTGTTCTACCTTTAACTAGGTCAGTGCTAGGAGGACTAAAAGAGGCCAGGTTTGTCTTCGGCTCATAAAACAGAGGTATATGTAGCATATATTAACTTTTCAAAAAGTCGTGTGCTGTTTGCGCTTTCACTGAACTTTGGTGAAGCCAGGCACTTTTTTCAGAGAAATATTTTCCCCTTTTACTTGTGTGCTTCAATCAGGGAGCACCTGCATTTTCACAGGAAATCAGGCTGGTTCCAGTAGAATAGGGTTGTAGTAGTTTGATTTTAAAAAGACCCTTAAACTTTATAAAAGGTTTCCAAGCCACAGCTCAAGGATAGTCTTTAAACCATAGTCAGGGAGGGTCAGTGTATGAATTCACCACTAGTTCTAAAAACAAACCAAGAAAGAACGAAAACCCAAACTGGAGCAAGGGTAGGTTAGGCTCTACTGAAAGAAACAAGAACCTAGTTTTTGGGTGGGAGGGTTTATAAAAAGGTGTGAGGCTGTCTTAGGGTCAGGTTGTAGTGCAGGTAAGTTAGGTGCCTAATACCTTCCCCACAAGTTAGACTGCGTTTGGCCTGGGGCAACATGAGTGGCAGGAACTCAAAGGGGCCATGGGGGCAAGGTTAAGGAGACGACTCGGGGGGTGGGGGGAGGGCCGCGGTTTCCCACCACCACCTTTGCGCAGGACTGCTCCAGAGCCACCTGGCACCTCTCAGACCTGTGTCCAGAGTGCTGTAATGAAGAGGCC